ATTTTAATTTAATAATTAAAATTATTATAAAAATGAATGAAAACCATTGTAAATGTAGGTTGTTTGTTTGGCTTAAATTTCATTATTGGAAAGAAATACAAATTAATTATAACTGTAATAAAGATAATTATAACTGTAAACTAAATATTACTATTATTATTATTATTATTTATTTATTTATTTTATTAGATATTAATTCAGGAAGGGGGCATTAAAATTGATTTAAAGTGACAGTAAATTTTTTTTACATTGTTTCAAAAGATATCTCATTCAAATAAATGCTGTTCTTTTGATCTTTCTATTCATCAAGAATCCTGAAAAAAAAAACGTATCACAGTTTCCACAAAAGTATAAAGCACCACAATTGTTTTTAACATTAATAATAATAATAAGAAGAAGATGAAATGTTATTAGAACATCAAATCATCATATTAGTATGATTTCTGAAGGATCATGTGACACTAAGACTGGAGTAATGGCTGCAGAAATTTCAGCTTTGTATTGTTTTTAACATTAATAATAATAATAATAATAAGAAGAAATGTTATTAGAACATCAAATCATCATATTAGTATGATTTCTGAAGGATCATGTGACACTAAGACTGGAGTAATGGCTGCAGAAATTTCAGCTTTGTATTCACAGGAATTAATTACATATTAAAACATAGAAAACAGTTATTTTAAATTGTAATTATATTTTACAATATAACTGTTTTTAATGTATTTTTTTGATAAAATATTTGCAGCCTTGTTGAGCATAAGAGACGTCTTTCAAAAACATTTAAAAATCTTACTGACTCCAAACTTTTAACTATAGTGTATATACAGTATGTATTTATGTTTTGTTTTGTTGTTTTTTTGAAAAGCAGTTTGACTTGGTAACATCCAATTTAATTATCAAAAGCATATATAATAAAAACCACCAAATAAAATGATCTGTAATGGGTATCACACATTTGTGGCTTCCTTTTCATGCATATATAACTTTCTTACAGGATGAAGAACAAACTGTGGTATTTTGAATTTGCTACGTCCGAGACGATCTCAGCATCTTGTAAAAAACTCAAGGAGTGTCTCACCATTGAGGTGAGAAAAAACGCCTTATAAATAAAGGATCACACTCCTATCTAAGTTCAAAGAGGTTATTGATCATTCCAGCTACCCTTCTTCCCTTGTGTTGAAAGCTCATCAAAAAGCATCAACTAAAAAGCATGAGCACAGTGAGGGCATTAGAGTACTAACACCTGTTATTAACCTGCTTCTGGTATTAGTCGTCTGTCAGAGCTCAAGCCAGGAACATTTCAATCTAGCAGATCAGGGGCATTAATTCAGAATATGAAGCAAATGCAATTCATTACTTAAAAATCTGCTCACGCATGTTAGAAGTATTCGGCTAGAAATCGTTTTGTATATGAAAAACATTACGGAACTGACCCCAGTGCCTCTGTCTGGCCTCATCCAGTGTTGCGGGACCCAGCTGGATCTCGGTAGTCTTTCTCTGGAGGGCATCGCCGTCCTCAACATTCCCAGCATGCACGGCGGCTCTAACCTGTGGGGTGAAGCCAAAAAAAGTGACAGAGCGGACCAGGACTTGCCTGAGGTCATAGCAGACCCCGAAGTCTTAAAAGTGAGCCCGCAAGGTACGCTTCCTTCAGTGCAGGGAAAAAAACTTTTAATATGAAGATCATCCAAAACACTGAACAGACTGTCTCCGAACAGACATGAGCGACAAGCGCATGGAGGTGGTGGGATTGGAAGGAGCCATTGAGATGGGACAGATATACACAGGGCTGAAGAGCGCAGTCCGACTTGCCAAAACATCTCAGATTACCATCAGGTGAGACATAAGGTTACCAGCAAATGTCAGCAATTGTCCTTAAACAAGCTCATACTGGCACAAACATGTCATGACATGCTCAGACATGACTGTCTGTCTAATCTACATTCCCTGCATTTGCATACTCATTTGTTCGCTTTTTTCAAAAGCAAAATATGTAAATTACATTCCATTAATTCATTTGTCATTAAATGGGCATAGTCAATTTATTCTGTAACACTCTGTCAACCATTATTGAGTCATATGTGAATGTCTGCTTAGTCAGCCAAGCAATTGCCCATCATATGATTCACTGGTTATTTTGGTTTCTAAAAATGTATCTAATTGTTTTATTCAAAAATGTTCACTCATTTATAGGACAAAGAAGCCTTTGCCCATGCAGATTGATGGAGAACCGTGGATGCAGCCACCTTGTACTGTAAGTGTCCACCATACTGCCTTTCTAAGCATTTGACTTTGATTCATCCAGGTGACTCTTTTGAATCTATTCACTAAAAAGATGTATTCAGATTCATACACTGATTTGTTTAGTGACCCTTTTTGCTGGTTACACTGTAGTAATAGTAATAAGCGAATGTCTTTTTGTGTGTTGTGAGTGAACACTTTGTGTCTAAAATCTACTAAGAAACTCCATTAACAGTGTTTAGATAAGTGGTTTCTAATAAAAAATACAACTAATTTAAGCTTTTAGTGAATTATAATGATTTGTTAAAAAAGAAATCATTCAAAAAAATCATTCAAGTATGAACCATCACTAAATTTAAGTGATAGATTGTCATCCAAACTGAAACAAAACATCATTTATGTTCTCGTCATCTTATGTTATTTCACCGTTTAAAGGAATAGTTCATCCAAAAATTACAATTTGAAAATGTACTCCCCCTCAGGCCATCCAAGATGTAGAGTTTCTTCATTCGAACAGATTTGGAGAAAATTATCATTATGGGTGAATGGGTGCCGCCAGAATGAGAGTTCAAACAGCTGATAAAAACAATGCTAAATTTCTCCAAATCTGTTATGAAACAAACTCATCTACATCTTGAATGGCCTGAGGGTGAGTACATTTTCAGGGTGAATTAATTTTGAGCTAATTTTTATTTTCAATTTTTGAGTGAACTATTCCTTTCGCTTCAGTTTAAACCAATAGAAACAAGTCAGCATTAAATGAGATTTAACTTATTGTGTTGTTTTATCTGTCTTTCTATTTTTCTTCCTCAGATTCACATCACACACAAAAACCAAGCCAGTATGCTGATGGGTCCTCAAGCCAAATCTGGCTTTTTCAACCTGAAATAGAGTTTACCTGCACTTGAAGCTGTTTAAGTTCGCTTCGAAACTCTGTGTGCATTAACAGTTACTCTGAAGCCAATGACAGTTTAAAGCCACTATGTCAATTTTGCAGCAAATGCTTAATAAGGTTTTAGCTCTTACTCAAATCCTTGTGTTTTTTGGAGATTATCCTTACATGAGGTACAAACTCTTCACTAGACCATCTTAACCTCAAATATGCTCTCTTTAAAGAAATGCAGTGCTCTTAAACAGTAGCTCATGCATTTTTTGCTGTGATATACATATCGTGCACAGGTCATTCCAAGTAAATAGGCTGGATATTTGTTTTAAGCTTATGTAGATATACATAAAAAAGTGCAACACTCCAAAGCATCCAGTGTATGAGTCAAGGTTGGATGTGCAGTGACTTTGCTGTATAGGTGGTTTAAATATTAGAAATAGATCTGTGCTAACTCTGCACACTGCTTTTAGCTATTCCTTTAGATATTTTTTTTCCTCAGCTACTTTTACTAATTTACTAATCATGAATGTCAGATTACTCCAGGCTAAACAAGTTACCAGTGTGATCTTTACCAGAACAGTGACTAGCTTTAGCAAAATAAAATCTAAAGAGCTTTATGAGACATCTAATTTATTTGCTGTTAAAATGTAAACACCTAAAATAGTAGTGGTAATGTTTAGATAAAATACCGAAATTAAATCAACAGTATGTTAACTGATTTTATTAGGTTATAATAGTATCAAGAATGTGTCGAGTCAGTTGTGTAAAACTGATTTTGCAACATTTCATACATTTACACAGTTGTCAATCTATTGTATTTCCTTCAGATAACTCAATGAACAAAATCCTAAAGGTTTTCGATTACACATTTATGGCACTCTGGTAGGCTTTGTCATTTTACATTGCTCCTGAGAATGTAGAGGATCTCTTAATTTTGTGAATTTGTCTGAATAAACATTTCAATGTTAAATGATTCGCAGTGTGTCTCTGATTTTTGATACAAGTTTCATAATGTCATAATTTGCCTCAACACTCATAAGGAGTTTACCGCATATGAGCACTAGAGGGCGCCATCAGTTTAACTAATTTTACACCAGCCTGATCAACCATTGGGTTCAAGTGCCAAGTTTCATTTTCTCATGTACCATTTCTACGCTACTGAAAGTAAGTTAATTATTTTATTTTATTATATATTTTTTTACGTATGCCGTAAACGTATATTTACGGATATTTTTAAACTAAAATGTTGCTACTATTGCTTAATTATGTCTGGTTTAATCACAAGGTTCTGTATACATACGCTAACGATGTCTGATTCTGATTCGTGGATTAATTGTTCTTTTGAGTCGAATCTTTTTAAAGATTCGGTAAACAAAACAAGCACAAAACTTGTTGGAATGGTTCTCGAGTCAACAACTCAATGATTCATCGAGTCAGTGAAACGCTGAGTTTGAATGGTGTGGCTAAAAGTAAGTTTCTTTCATATCCAAACAACATAAATATTACGAATGTACTAGTTTAATCAACTCGCATTCAAAACCTCCGAGTTGGTATAAATAATAATAATAATAATAATCATGTTTACAAGCGTACATCATGACGTGTTTCGAAATGGTTTATTAACGAACTGTTCTAAAGAACCGATTTGTAAGTCACCCTTGATAACAGCACCTATAAATGCCTTAAATGTAACTTAATCATAAATAATAATATTTATACTTGCAAAACAGTTTCATTGACCTTCGATGTACGGTCGTGCCAAAACATCGCTTCTGTGCATGACAACCAATCACATCGCGCCAATTGTGTGGCCCCGCCTCCTTGAATATTTCAGCATCTCTCCAATCGCTTGTTCCCGCCCCCTTTTTCATATATTTCCTTCACATGTGTGTTTGTTTCTAAACCCGACGAGTCTGTCCGCAGATGCTGCAGCTGATACTGAGCTAAAGCTGGGTTTTGTTGCACAAGTCAGAGTGCTGGCTGGTGGCGAGTGGGTGGCTTTTCACCCACACTCAGTACTTTTCATCTCTCATTCTTCTTTCATCTACTGTTGCTTTCTTATCGAGTGACACGCGGAATATGAAAAATATGACTTTCCGACGGGTAAAGAAGCTGAACTCAAACGAGCCGGACAGCGGGTCGTTGTGTCATGACAGTGGGGAGATCTACTTTACGTCCTCCAAATCGGACAGCTGTGGGACTGTGGATCGTGGACCCTCAAACTCCACTGAGGTTTATAATTACAAGACCCTCGCTTACTCTGGAGGGACCCTACCGAGGAACTTTAAAAAGGTTAGAGCATTTCATTTGAACCTCAAGATTCAATTTGCTGTATTTGAGTCCTTAAAGTGTTTACATGTACCATGGCGAAATATTAATGAAAATATTTAGCTATTGTGTTAGGCTACATGTGATTATATTTATCTACTTTTGATTCCCTTCTGGAGGAAAAAAACGTTTTAGTCCAGCCTAAGATGATTTGCTGGTCTTAGTCACCCAACCTATGATCAAAAAGGTGTTTTGGATGGTTTTAAAGGCAATTTTTAGATGGTCAGGTAGGGAGACCATCTTAAACCAGATAAGACCAATAAATCATCTTAGGCTGGTTTTAGAGCAATATTGGCATTATTTTAGCCAGATATTGAGTGCAGAGGCTTATTTAGAAAATCCTGATCCTGAATAATCTTATACCATTTTAAGATGGTTTTAGCTGGTTTCAGAGGCTTGCCAGACTTGGGAGACCAGCTAAGAACAGCAAGCCAGTTTTTTTTCTTCTGCAAGGTTGAGCTGTAGTTTCCACATCGTGTTACTGAGTTAAAACTGAACTCATACTTCATCACTCATACTAATAACAGCTACTGGAGTCAAAGCTTTAGAAGTAATATTACATGGTTGCCTCCTTTATATCTGCCCTCTATGTATGAACATCTTGAATACATTGTTTGGTTTTGTCTGGTCTTAATTAAGCACAGAAACAACAGTCCTGTGATGAGTTTGCTTTGATTAGAACCAGCAGTGTGCATGCAACACTCAAGTTTGATTAGTTTGAAGGCACACAAGTTGAGCTCCTCCTCTCTTAATAACTTTTATATGCCACCATCATTGGATGTAACATTATAGAAGGACAGTGTTTCTCAAACCTGGTCTTGGAGTAGCCTTGAACTGGACATTTTGGATGTTTCTCTTAATTGCACACCTGGTTTATATCGTATGAGACATTCAAAATGTGCAATACTCGAGTACTCCAGGATTAAGAATCACTGTTGTATGGGGCTAGTTAAGGTAGCTAGACTCAATTAGACTACGATGTCCCTGTTTGAGTCTTGTCCTGAATGGCTCAAGCAGTTGTCACCTTTTGCTTGGCATGTAAAGAATTTCTTGACCTGCGTTCATTCACACCTGTCCATCAATGTGCATCTGTGACCATCAGCATGTGACGGTTCCTCTGAAGAACCTCATTTGAATGTGTACGTGTGAGCAGTCATGCAGAACTTTAGAAGTGGCTACACTTGTTCATTTCTGCGTGACTCTGAATCATTATTTTTAACACAGGCAATAATTCATATCATGCCATTGAAAGTAGAGATTGACCAATATTCATACAACTCTTACTACTGGATAGCACCCAGATTACATCACTATGAGTTCAATAGTAAACAGTGTTAAGTGGTAAAATAACTTTATTCATTGTTAGCATTCAACCTTTGACCTTGTGAAAATGTATGCTCAGCTTCTTTTTTTTTTTTTTAGGTAGCAACCATTCATTATGGATGAGATTATTTTTTTTTGCATTTTAGCATAAGCTAAAAGAAAATACATGTTCATATAAATTAGAAAAACGTTTTTATTATTATTTACAGTAATGCAAATTAGATTTCAATTTACATATCTGAAAATGTTTTGATCTTAATAATAATAATAATGAAAATGTAATTTACATATCTGAAAATAATAATAATTTATTATTATTAAATGGATAGATGCAAACATAGATGGTATTGGCAATGTCTAGTACAAAGTCTCCAACTCTTCCTTCCAAATCCAAAGAGAGACATTAATCTGCTGGTCAATTCTACAATGTACTCTTGCTTTGGCAAAAGCAGTTGCTCTCTTGGGTTTTGACCATACAGATGTGAGCCTGCTTGGTTCTTCTGGCCCTTGGGTTTAGACTCCCTGGAGTGTGTTTCATGGTCACTCATGGTGTAAAGTGTTTCCCTGTGTCTTTGGACCACCCACACGCAGGTCTGACTCCACCGACTCTCTTGAGTAACTGTAAACAGCTCGTCCCTGCTGAATTCTGGGCCTGCTCTTTTACAGTCCTCCTGTGTGGCCAGCCGGGCCGTTTTATGGATCCTGACCAAGTGTCCCGGGCAGTAAAGCCCCCTCCCGATTGTCTGTGACCTTTGTGGTGTGGAACTGAATTTACTGCAGAATTGAAAAAGCCTGAGTGACCAGGGGTCAGTGTGGGTGTGTTGTTGACCGCATAATAAAATGGCTTTTGAAATTCAAATAGGTCTGATATGATCTCAGTACTTCCCGGTAGGTGTCTGGTGTTTATATTAAAACTACATCTATAATCTAGTATGTGTTATGGCTCTGAAGGGATAGTTCACTCAGAAATTACAATACTGTCATTTATTTCCCCCGTCATTCCAAACCTGTATGACTCTTTCTTCTGTTTTTTTTTTTTTTTTTTTTTTAGTTTTAGTTCTCTGTTTTTGTTTAATGTTTTTATCCATATATTGAAAGTCAGTGACATCCAAAGTTTTGTCATTGAGGTTGAGTAAATGATGACAGAGTTTTCATTTTTGGGTGAACTATCCCTTTAAGACAATTTTGCGGTTTACAAATATGAAGTCTTTTAGATGGGGGGGGGGGGTAAAAATATTTAAAAAAAAATGTATTAGGGCAGAATGACCGCAATTTTTGCCATTTTAGGTTCAAACACAATGGCTCCTTGACTGCCACTTTACTCAACTAGCCAGCAACTTTTAAATGTTGTATTTTAATTTGCGGAAATTAGTCTTGAACAAAGCTTACAGTGGAGTACTACATGACAAGTTTTTGGATTGTAGGGCAGGTTTATGAACAGCTCTCTGTATCTGGACTCCTACACTTTGCTTGAATGCCGGGCCACAACAGGGTATTGTGCGGCCGAGAGCTTTGCTTCCCCATCCAACTGCCCCCGAGGGACCCTCTTAGTTACTTGGAAATAAATGAAGTCATTGAGGGGGATCCTACGACAATTCTCAAAGTGTACAAAAATAAAGAAAGGCAACGTTTTACTAGCTTTGGAGGGTTCGTGCTCAAAGTGCACTTTGTGGGAAGCTGAAGTTGTTGGGGTTGAGGTACAGTCCGATTGAATGGGCGTCTGTAAGTGCGGGCGTAATATGAATTAATTCTTTTGTCCTTCGCGTGGTTTGGGTTGGGTTTTCAACATTATCAGCCAGAACATCAGTACAGTTGTTGGCACATGACAGAACTTGTATTCACCAACCTGGCTGCATCTTAGATCTCCTTGTGATAATTTCAGAGACGCTTACAGCGATAAGTGTACCTAGTCTGGAGATAAAATAAGATCAGAGACCAACCAAAGAAAGCTGCGACAGAAACGGTTAAGTGAAAGCGGCAGACAGGCATGCATTTCAGGTTATATCTGCGATGTCATCCAAGCTGTTAAACAGCATATGTGTGTAATGAACATATTGCAGAACCTACAGCTCAGACTTTGGGAAAAGACCTGTTGATCGGGGGGATTTCTAAGGACAGATATTCCAAAGGTCACAGACACTCATTTTCTTTCTCTCTTGTTGTCTTTCTGTTTTTCCCTTCATCTCTCTATCTTGCTAAACAGAATGGTGGGCTGCAAAAATGGAAACCCCTTTCGCACTCGCCAGAACCACAAAGGTAAGATTGCCATTGCTCCACAGATTTGTTTGGTGTGTGCATGCATCATTGTTACTTCCTTAAAATATACTCTATTTATTGCGACAGTTATGAAAATGTCAGACCCTTGTCTTTCACACCTTTTCCAAGGTGTCATGGAATAAAAATATCCGCCCTTAAACAACCGCAATTATAGATTTATATAAAATGGCCTTTTTGGAGGACAGAATGAATGCAATGAGGTCTGAATGAATAAAAAGGGAGTGTGTTTTGGATCGGCCAGATGGTCAGATGCGATCTTTCTTCACTGTATGCATCTCTTTATTCTTTAGTATAAGCGTATGCATAATTCATGATTGCCTAATGATGTATGAGTGCTTTCAGAAAAACAGGACTCATTTGAATCCCGAGATTGCTCAATTGTCTAGACAACTACTATTATCCCAACAGAAGTCATCTCCAGTTTAAAATGCACCTGTGCGGTAGTCATTCATACCCTGATGCCGTTGTTATCGAGAATTGTAAAAACACAGACTGTATAACAGTATGAAACCGAAAGCGCACTGAAAGCATAGTTTGAAAATGAGCTGTTCAGATGTCACACCCAGAATTTTTAAAAACGTTTTGTTCTTTTTCAAACGTTTCCCATTACGCCACATAGACGTATCCTCCAAAACAGCAGCATCATGCGGTTGATTATGCGTTTCCTCTGTGTGTCTTTCATCTTCCATGTTCCTGTAAGCACTGACCATCAGTCAAGGTCATAGATTGAGACAAAACCGCTTAGAACGAAACTTTACTAAGACTGTTTTAGCTCATATTAATAGAATACCCTCTATTTTGGTTTTTCCTTCCAGGAAAACAGTGATCCTAATGAAGAAAGAGGAGGAGACCTTTGGCTTTGAGATCCAGGTAAGAGGGATTTAAAACTCTTTGAATTCATTCAAGGTGTCTGAAATGGTGGTAAATAATGTAAAACCTTTCTAAGATGACTTAGTTTGTACATGTGGGTGGGCTGCTCAGAATTAAAGAAAAGTAAGACCTTGGATGAAGGATCTATTCATGGTTAAATAGCTGTTATTTTCAGTCGATGACACCAGTGTTTTTGACCTCATTTTGACAGAAACAAGTATTAGCTAAGGTTTATCTATGTGTAATCCAGTTGTAGTTGTGACAGAATCAAAAATCCTTCTTGGTGTGAGAACCTGCTTGTTTTCTCTGTAATTTGTTCTTCACGATGTTCACTTTATCAAAGGCCAGTTCCTCAATGTGGAACCGATTATGAACTCTGCATTAGTAATTCTTTATCATGCTTCAAAGCAGTATGTCATTTGTTTTGACATATATACCAGATAGCTAGTTTATACTTAGGAATGTATAATAGTTCAGATGTAGGATGGAGGACCCCTCCTTTCCTGCCATGTCCTCTAGTACAGGATATGACATCAAGTTTCTGTCACATGAGAGGCGACATATCAAGAAATTAATTGTTTTCTAGGATGGCGTGCTGTAGACAACATTGTTTTTGGAGTCTCTTAGCAGCGGGGATACGGTTGGCCGTATCTACTATGTAAATATGTCTGTACTTTGCATCTCCCGAGGCGCTTAGTGTCTCAGAGATTCGCGTAAGCGGTTTGAGTGTGTGGGTAGAGGAAGGAAACGGACGATTCCAAACATTTGAAAACACTTTGCAAATGATTCACGTTTCAGAGATGTTTGTACATTTACATGTTTTTTTTCTTCTAAATGTAGTCTTTGGGAGTGTTTATTGATAGTCCAGGCCATACAATATTGCAATGGGTATTTAGAGGTTTTTCCTTAAAGGTACAGTTCACCCAAAAAGAGTTTCAAAATGTACTCACCCTCATAATATTTGAAACCATATGACATTTTCTTTTGTTTTAATTTCCTTTAAATTAAATAAAAATTTTTAATTTAATGAGAATGTAAGAGCAAATATTTTTCCATACAATGAAAGTGAATGGCAACTCGTTGTCAAGCAAGATTTTCATTGAATATTGGCTAAAATTGCTGAATGTTGATTGAATTAATTCCTTTAGAAGACTTAAAATATAGCACTCAAGTCATATTGACTGCTTTTTGGTGTTTTTTTGGCAATTGACAGCCCCAGTCATTGTCATTGTAATGGTAAAGAGCAGCGTTAGCATTCTTCGAAACATCTCTTTTTGTGCTCTACTGAATGAAGTCAGTCATTGGGGTTTGTAACAACACAAGGGTGAGTAAATGATGACAGAACGTTCATTTTTGAGTAAACTATCCCTTTAAGACCGCCTTTATGAAGAGTCACCCAGAGTTTAGTCAGATTCACCTTTTCTTTCTGACAGAATGAGGTTTAACAGTATCCTCAGCTCACAAAGCTGTTAACCTCAACAACAGCCTTGGGTTTCAATATGGGGAGTAAGCAGCAACACCAGTTATCCTCAAAGCTATTGAAATAAGGCATTCTTATGCATGTTACACTCTCAAGAAATTGTCATTCATTGTGAAAGTGAATATCGTGAGAGCGTCTTACAGCCACAGCGTGTTTCTGTGGTGACTGATGAAAACATTGTGCGCCACAGCAAACATTTGGGCTCCACACACGTCAGGAAACTGACAGCAAAGTGAGACACTCATTTGAATCTGCACACATCCATGAACCAAAGTGCCGCTGATACCAAAGGCACCAACATGCAAATGGCTTCAGTATATCAGCATGTGCGTTTCACCATGAGCTACTGATTACAGTTATAATGGAAACAAAAGCTGATGTTTTGCATATCGACAGTCTCTTCCTGTTCTGTTTTAAACTTCTCTTACTGTGTAGAGGTGCATGGTGTTCTTAACTCATAGAATTAATGCTCTGAAATATCTCACACCACTATGAAATGTTATAGCCACTTCCATCCTTAATACATCCTCAATAGTTTACACAGAAATCCAGTTGCTAGTCCACTGCAGCACTGCATGATTTTACTGGTGCAGAAAACATTTTATTGCTACTATTAAAAATTACTTGTATGTAGGTTCATAGATATTACATTATATTATATTATCCATACGTTTTTGCAAACCGCTTGGCCTATGAAGGGTCGTGGATATATATTGTTATAATCGAAAATATTCAATGTAAATGTAACTGTACATTTAAAAGTTTCCTTTTTGACTGAATATAATTGAATATCAATTTAATTCAGAAATATGCCACATTACACATGTAAAATGGGTTTTGACACCAAGTAAACTATCGCTAACTCTCAGATATGGTGCTAACATTTGCCAAACATTTTCGTAAGGCTTAGCCAGATGCATGTACAGTTCAAACATTGAAACGACAACAAAACCCAGGCGTTTCAAATGGCCCAGTTTTGGTGTGGCTTGTTTATCAAGGATGTTTGCATGTGCGTAAATCACCTGGAGCCATCCCTCACGTTCAGCATCCTTTAAGCCATTGAGTCTGTCAGTCAGTCTTTATGAAGCCGTGCAGGTCAACATTCTAGTCATTGAACACATTATGGCGTTAAGCCACTGTGGAAACACTATCAGACCCGATTTAGCAATGTTACGTCGAACAATAAGCCTCGGCTTTCAAAAAAATGGCACACCTTTGCTGCCTAGCGTATGAATCATTTTGTTTACTTTAGCATGATCTGATTGCATATCTATAAATAACATTACCCTCTGCAAAAGAGACAGCTTTGTTTACAGTCTGTTTTTTTTTTTATTTTGTGTGTCTACAGACATATGGGCTGCATCACCAGAGTGAGAACTCAGTAGAGATGTGCACCTTTGTTTGCAAAGTCCACGAAGACAGTCCTGCCCAATTTGCAGGCCTTAAAGTCGGTAAGTGTGCTCATATTAACACCACCCCTTATGTTTGCTCAGTAATTCCTGCTCTTTAAACTGGCATTTGACACAGAGGCTAGAATATTCAGAGTGATCCTTGGGGTAATAGGGAGTGCGTTTTAAAGCATAACAAGGATAGGTTTCCTTCATCTACTTCTTGAACATCCTGTTTTGTAGTGAAATGAGTCAGTGTGAATAGGAGTAATATTTCAGAAGGCTTGCAAATGTCTTGCTTTCTCACTTGGCGATCTCGTCAGTCTGTCAACACCATGACAGTTGAGTGGCAGCCCTGCTGTTTTAGCAAGAGCAAATATCACAGAGCTGCACCCACATAGACTGTATGTGGATTTTTATTCTTTCAAACTGTAAAACCGGATACTGCCAAGTCACTCTGTGGCTTTTTTTTTTAAACGTTGTTTCCTTTTCGTTTTAGAAAGCTCTTCTCTTTTCTCGTAAATCTTTTACTTGGCATAAAATTTTGTATTTTTTGAAAAAAGTCTCTTATGCTCACCAAGGCTGCATTTGTTTTAACTTTTTTCTTTTTTTTTCAATCATTTTTTAATTATCCTTGCTCTATAAAAGTATTATTTTCTTTCAAAAGCATAAAACTTGCCAGAAACTTCTGAATTAGCATTTATGTATTAGTTTCAGTCCTTATAGAAACTTGTTAGCAACTTTATTTCGAGTTTAGAGAACAAGTTGACAAGTAGAACAAGATGGTTTTTCTAAGAATGCATCTGTGCCACTGTCCTATAATGCCCTATTCAGGCTTTTATGAATTGTTACCACTTGCTAGAAATTGTATATGTAAAATCTGCATTCTTTTCTGTAATCTCAAAGAGAACAAACAGTTCTGCGTCTAAAATACCCGCTTGCTCTGTTCCGGGATCAGTTGATCTTCTCCAGAGTGAAATGTAACAATTAGGTCTCATAGATAAACTGATGTCAGATCAGAGGTAAAGAGGAACTCCTACTCAGTGTTGCTGTGCGTGAGTGTTGGTTTCGCTTCCTGCATTCCCTGCATGCTTTGCACTATTGTCTTCTTTGACCTGTCTCTCAAAAGCACATGACCTCATTGTTCTTAGTTAGACAAGAAAGCCCAAAACTTTCCAGGGAGAAAAGGAATTATTTCATTACATATTGATGCGGACAATCCAGCCTCTCTCCGGCAGATGTGTCCCAAAACACTTTAGTAAATTGTCTTCCCAAAATCCTCCAGGTTGAGTTTTGTAAAGGAGAAAAAAAGCTCAATTATTACATCAAATAAGATTGCTTTGAGTTTTTGTCACGTGAAGAGAAAAAAACACACAAGATGAGTGTATACATTTACATAATTTTTATATTCATGCTGTTGTTCCAAACTTGTATGACTCCTGTGTTAGAACAGAAATGATGTCTAGTAGAGTGTTCATGCTGCTCTTTTTTCATACAATGAAAGTGGATGGTGACCATGCATGTCAAGCTCTAAAGCACCATAAAAGTAGTCAATGCAACTTGTGCATTATATTTCAAATGTTCAAAAGCCATTTAACAAACTGAAACTGAATGCGCTCTCTGAAAATGTTTCCTATGAACTCTTGTTTTGCAGCCATGGTCGCCGTTCTTTTTCAGTGTGTGGAAATGGGATTTCACAATAAGTGTCTCCTTTTGTGTTCCTTAAAAGAAGGAAAGCCAGGTTTCAAAATAAAGAAAATAATGATGAAAGAATTAATTTTGCACACAAAATGTTAGTATACTGTGTCCAGTCAGATCTGTTCTCAGTTTAACACTCTTCTCTTGGGTTTGTAGGAGACACGATCGCCAGTGTGAACGACACTTCTGTTGAAGGCTTTCGCCATAAAGAAATCGTCCAGCTCATTAAATCATCCGGCAACAACATTAGGTATGTAGATATTCAGTGTTCTATCATGTCTACGTTTTTTTTAAATTAGCAAAATTTACTCTTTCTTAAAGTAGAATGGAAGTTTTAGTTGTTCCGAGTGTACCTGTGGTCTTTTTTGATTGGCATGAAAAATTTGATCTGCTATTACTTAATTGGAACCACACTCTCTTTGCCCCTTTTATTTCCTGTTTAATAAAAGATGAAAGGCCAGTGAAAATGAACCTCCATTTATAAAGTGTGGAGACCAGTGATGTGAACCACATGAATGCGTAAAAGTTCATGCCTTCCCTCTCCGCGGCTTTTAACCCAATTATTTCCACTTTTAAATGTGGGGTTATGCTGTAAATGAGAACGTTTACAGCAGCCCAGTAAAAAAAAAAAAAAAAAAAAGAGGTTCCTGCTTCATATCATATCACCAATGCTGGTCCTGAAATGATATACATTTGGGGGAAGGGGAGTTTTGTATTACCACTAAGCTCATATTCAGACACGTTGTGGTCTTAAGTCTGTTGTAAAGACCTCTTTGACTTTGTTTAATTGGAGTGTTTAATACACTGAGGCTTTGATGTGTAATACCACACAATATAGGAAGTGACTTTGTCATGCAGTGCTGTGTTATTTTGTTCCTGTGTCTAGGCTAGAAACCGTCTACGGCGACTCTATACGAAAAGCAGAATTGGAAGCACGACTGCAGTATCTAAAGGTAAGTTTCTCAAAGAACATGTACACCGACATGCTCGTATCAAGCAGCGTGTCGTCTCATATACAGAGATGTTTACGAGCATTGTAATGTAAGCCCAGCTTTAACACAGCTGCCCTGGTTTGGCACCGAACACTAGCGCTGACCACACCTGTTTCCTCTCACACCCCACCTGTTCCAGTGACAGGCCAGTCTTAATCCTCACATACCACAGTACAGCTGACACAGTGCCATCCGAAACAAAGCAAGGCACAATTTTACATTCCTTAGGACATTCTCATATGTGAAAGAAGATGCCTAGGCCATAAAGTTTAAATACAACTATAATACGGTTTCATTTTGGTTGTCACTTCTGTGGTATTTGAGAGACATGTTTTGGTACAAAGGCTTTTGTCAGGGTTGAAGTTATTTAAATACAAACTAAAACTGATTTAAAAATCAATTAAATATAGTTGTCAGACAATGTTAAAGGGTCTCATTAAAATTACAAAATTTTCTTCATTGAAAGCTGAAACTAAATAAATCATAAATATTAGATAGAAAAAGTAAACTTAAACATTTTATTTCAGTTAGTTGCCGCGGCTATAATTTGAGTTATTTTTATTCATTTAAAATATTAAAATGACTAAAACTAAAATAAAATCAAGTTAAATAGAACTATTAAAAAAAACTACAAATGACAAAAGCACACAATTTCCATAACTTAGACTAAAATTAAAATGAAAACTGAAACACTAATTAAAAGTATTAATAAAATCTGTTATAATACTAAAATAACCCTGGCTCACTAAAAGTTCATCTTTAAAAATGCTAATAACTTATTAACAGTGTTCAATTTAATCTTTTGCAAACCATAAAATTAATATCCATTTTTCATACTGTACATTATAATACTGTGATGTCTAAAATTGCTTGTGGCATTTAAAGTAACTGATTTTAGTTTTTAATACTTTAATTTATTTTATAGAATTTTAATATCCATTTAACAGTTATCTGCCATAACATAAAAAATAAGTATCTGATTATACTTTTACTTATATTATCTGCTTTCTTTTTATATCAAATTCAGCAAAATAACAGATAAAAACAATCAAAATCACAATAAATACAAAAATATCATGACAAACCAACTTTTCAACCTTTTCATTTTTTTATGATTTGACATTGAATTGATTAAAAAATGGCCCTGCACAGCAAAGAACTCTGCAATAGGTTGTGATGCGAGAAGTAGCAACAAAGAACTGAAAGCTGTCTGACCTCACTGACCACAAACTTCCCTGTTCTCTATGATGATGATGATGATGGGGAAAAAATAAAATGAACAGATCAGCCAAATGACACGTGAAATGACTCTTACTGTGTCTTTTTGTCTCTCCAGCAAACCCTGCATGAGAAATGGGATGAATACAGATCTCTTATGGTGCAAGAGCAGCGGCTTGTGCATGGTGAGTTTTAGCACATGATAGCGATCTTACTAAACCAGGCCTTTGAATGACACGTCCCCTACTGCTTATGAGCTTGTTTCAATAGCGTATAAAGGTTGGAAGCCTGACATTTCAGCACTTCTGCATGTATTTGTATCACACAAAATACTTGCTGTTAGCACAATGTTGTGATAGACGACACATTTAAAAGCACATGTTAGTTTTTTCCAGTGTGATTAAAGATCAAACTAAATGCCTTAACATAGCAACATAATACTTTACTAGCCTGCAGAATCTCTTAAAGGCTTATTTTAAAATGTAAAGAACCTTAAAACGGGGAGTAATTTTCCTTTAAAGCATTTCAGAGGTTAATTTAGCTATCCGTTTTCACACTCACAGGCATCGTCATGAGTGATGTGGCTGTGTATGAGTCTCTGGAGTCAGCCGGTGTGTATGGTAGTCTGGGAGCTCCGAGCCCCGCAGCCATGCGCGCGTTACTTGGCACCGGGAGCACGAGCAGCAGCGTCAGCCATCTTAGTGCCGCCACAACTGAGGATGACCCACTCTACCAAACCTGCATCTACCAGGGGGAGTGCTCCAATAACGCCAGCAACGACGAGCTTGATGCAAACCAAAAGAAGACACAAAACGGCCGTCCACGTCTCATCCGACCTGCCAGTGAGCTCTTTGCTACAGCCAAGACCCCCCTGACCCGTAGCGCCAGCACACGCAGTTATCTGAGGGGCATGCCGTCATCATCATCATCGTCATCCTCTGTGCCTAATGGAGAAAAGCAGCAGTGCGGAGGGTTCAGCACACTGCAGCGCAAACCCAAACAGAAGAGCTTCAGGCGAAGGCTGTTGAAGTACATTCCCGGACTAAACCGACCCCTGGAAGAGGAGGAAAGCAAACTGTGAGAAACAAAGCGAACTGAGATTCAAAGACTCACTTAGCCAAAGACTAAATGTTTAAAACGAGCGAAAAGGAAACTGAAGACCAAAAGTGGAGGACAAGATAAACCAAAGAATCCAGTGATGATAAAATAGTGTTTTCATCTTGTTTTCTCAGAAAAGTTGAGAGCCTGTTTGGTCAGGTTGATAGTCATTTTAAGTGGGCCAAAAGTTTCAAAGCCTTTTCTTTTGAAATCTGAATGCAAAACATTAGCAAACGATTGGTTGGGCAACTTGAATATTAGTTATAGACTTGAAGTATTCAGATTCATATAAAATGCTGAGAGTAGATATGGATGCATGTCTGTTTGTCGCTGGAATATTGTTTAAAATTCTGAAACAAATAATATAATTGTTAACAAGGCCCAAAAATGTGGACCAGTGTGTCTTACTCACTTTGTCAACTCCTTTAACTAGTTTATTAACATTGTCTAACTTTATTTCCTGGTGCACATTTTGCACCTAAATCAAGAAGCAAATGTTTGTACATATTTTGTTAATGTTTAATTTATTTATTTAATGTTTATTTTCTGTTTTTTTTTTTTGTGTGTGTATTTTTGCCTTTTCTTTTTGTAATTATAAAATGAAGGATTTTTTTTATTATTAGATCATATTTGAAAATACTTTGGTCCTGAAGGATATTTAATAAGTGCCTTTTTGGCATGTATGTGTAAATAACTTTTGTTTTTTTGTGAAATATAGATTTAAAATAAAAGGATGGTATTTTCCCCTTATTATTTCTCTAGGAAGTTTTTTTTTTTTTTTTTTGCTTTTGAAAGCGGAGCTCACGTGTGCTTGCGGATTAATGTAGACACTGACGAGAATGAATGAGCAAAACTCCCGCGGCGAATAGAACGGCTTGCAGTTAATGAAGAGCACTTCTAGATCTGAACAGCACATCTTCTTTAACACAGTTACATCTGTACACCACCTCTCATTGATGTAAAAGCATGTCCCGCCGCCGCGCGATTTCCCCGTTGATTCTGCGTCGCGATCTGCTCTGAACAGCTGAAAGCCCGGGAGACTCAACGCGCTGTCCGGAATGGCGTCTTTCAGCCAGGTTTCCGTGAAACACAGAGCAGCAGAGTTTGAAAAATCCGTATTTGTCCGGGAGAGCAGAAGGAGTTCGTCCGTTTTGTTGGGTAGAGAGCGGAGATTTGCCAGATGGATGCTTGGCAACGGCGTCCTGAATCCGCGCTGTCTGAGCTTGAGGAGCGCGCCGGCTCGCTTCCCCCGTCTGCGCGTCTGCGCGTCTCGTGTGGATATTTACTGTGGTTTGATCTAAACCACTAAGTGTTAAAATTTAGCGTGTAATTTGTTCCATGTCATTTGTGATAAGGACTCATACTTCGAACTCACTTTGGCCTAGTAGCATTTGCATCAAAGAAGCAACGTGAGGCATATCTGTTGGCCAGAATGTCAATTTCAAAGACTTGAGTGTGGACTCCTTTACTTAGGAAATTACACAACTGCTAAACAGGACGTGCTAAAAACCATTTACAACACTTTAGCAACCACATAGTAATGCTGCACCAACCACCCACAATCTAGTATCATGACAATGAGTTTTTCGTGGGAATTTACTGGGCGTACGCATGTATTTGTGCGTAAAATTTGTGTGCGAACATTTTTTAAATAAAGAATCGGACTTAATATTATTCTAAATACAAAACAAATTCAGAATTAACTCAATATAAACTGAAAACAAGCCTGAGAGAGACAGATTAAGTTGTGCGGAAAGACCTTATATGGAGATGTTTGGGCGGTTTCTATGCAAATTACTACCTGCAGTCACACGCCCCCTCATTTAGAATTCATCAACACTGAACAAAGGAGCAAATGACATGTGTGTGCGTAGGCACCTGTTGTGATTCCTGTGGAAATTTTGCACAAAAACGTAAGTATGTGCACATAAATACGCAACTTATATTTAATAAAATAATTAATTCATTAAAATAATTAATGAATGAGGCCACTTATCTTCAGAAAATCTATTTTACACCACAGAGCGGTGTTTGCAGAGTGTTGCTAACATGGAAAACGGAGTCAGTAAACGGTGCCAAACCTCATTTTGGCTAATGCTGGGTACACACCACAAGATAATCGGGCTGATTTTAATGTCCCGATTATCTCGGTGTTTCTAAAGATTATCTTATCAGATATTTCCTGTGGTGTGAGGTGTGTTAAGAGTGACTGAATCTGCTCGGAAGAACGTCGGAGGCGCCCCGATCGCGAATCGTAAATATTCAACATGTTGAATATTTACGATCAGAAATCCTGATGTGTGGGTGCCCCGAAACCACCACACACTATAGGAGCAAAATGGTTAAATCTAGGATTTTTTTCCCTCATGTTTGTGGTCTCTCACATTTTGAAGATCTTATAAGATTTTAAAAATCTTTTAGTGTGTACCCAGCATTAGGCCTGCACCAACAGTAAAAACAACATATATTTGACTTAACAAGGAGAAGGTTTAGGAGAAAATCAGTTCAGTTCATGCACAACGGCTTTCGTCCCCAGACGTTACAACTGACATGCAAAACTCTAGAGACTTTGCCAGTGACGATATTCCAGTTTTCTGAGCTCTGACTGCATGACTGTATCCTTAATTCTGGGTTTCCAAGCCCCACACAAAACAGTCTGTGTCTATGTGCATGTTTTTCATTAGCGTTTGTTATATAATAACTTGAGGAAGAAGAGGCCAGAATGAATCGAGCTTCTTCAATGCATTATATTATTCTAGTGAAATTAACTTGCATTTGTATGTCACTGGAGTATTTTTAAGTAGTTTGAACTTAAACCACATAATATATAGACTTACATAAATTTAGAATGTTTTGCTGTTGACATGTATTTGGAAAAGGAACACAGCTATTGGCCCTGATTTTTAAAGCATAAAACTGCTATTAGAAATAAGAAATGGAATTAATTCTGTTTGCCAACATCACTATGTATGCAGCCATGTTTTGCCATTACTATTTTGTTGTCTTAGCAACTTCTCACTTTTGTTAGTTTGAATGTAACTGGTTATTTTTTCACTGTGCAACAGATCTCGGTGCTTCCGCTAGCTTTTTCACACCCATCTAATGAGTCAAGCTTAAAGGCACAATATGTAATTTTCGCCGCTAGAGCGAAAGCAGCGGAGCTTTTATTATGCCACAGTTGACCGCTTCCGCTCCTTCCGGCCGTGCGAATGTGGAGAAAAAAAGCAGTGCTCTTTTATCATACTAGATACGTTTGAAAGTTCTGTTATTATGCTACTCTGTGTGGTCGTCACTGGTCTAATAAAACACACAACATATTAAAGCGTCTTTGGTGTTTCCATGTTTTCTACAAAACAAAACCGGAACTCGAGAGGTTATGACGTCATTGGCAGGCGACACAATGACACTATGGACACGCTCCGTGTCACTAGTTAAAATTGCTTATTTCTCTGGATTTAAACATTCTTCGAAACATTTGGGATAATGTAAGTGCACAAGTCAGCAAAATATATAACACTGTTCTAGTGGTTTTTGGATATTTTAATAAAAAAATCTTACATATTGTTCCTTTAAGTAGGTATAAGCAAAACTGACCCATGATCAGTGTGAGATGTTAGTTTAGAGTCCATTATGACAGGAAGTGAATGAGGTGTGGGTGTCTGGTTGAAATCTATTTTAGAGCTTCTTGGTTGGGAGTAAGTGTCCTAAGGGTGTAGGCTGCAGATTTATGTGTAACAACGTCCCTCCAAACCACTAATCACACTAATGACATCAGAACTGGTCCATGCTCTGCATATCTACATACATTTAATTGTATTTTGGAATAGCATAAATTATCTTATTAGTTATATGTGTGTGTATATATATATCTATATACAGGTACATCTTAAAAAATTTGAATATCATGAAAAAGGCCAATATTTTTTTTCACTCATTTCAGAAAGTGAAACCCATATATTATATAGATTCATTACACATAGAGTGAAATATTTCAAGCCTTTATTTCTTGAAATTTCTTGAAATGTAAGTGTATTTTGGTGCACGTTGCTAAAGAAGTTGAATGGATTGTATGTGGCATCTTGGCATGATCACAGAGTGTGAGCATGTGTGTGAGAGAGATACTCAAGTCACATGTGCAGACAGGATGTGGTAGAGAGATCGCGCAGGAAATGCATCACAATGCAATGCTGCCTGGTGAAAAAAGACTGTACAACTCTTTCCAGAGAAAAAAAAGTTTTTGTGTTATCTTTTAGAATGTTAAAAGGGGATTTGAAGGGGATTCACAGGACATTATTTACATGTTTCGAGATTGAAATCAAAGTAAAATCTCTGTTCCACCTGAAAAGTTCCCTGAATGAAACCAGACATGTTAATACATCACTTGATTATTTTTCTACCACAATAATTACCAGCAATGTCATTGGAATTTTTTTTTTTAGTTTACTTAAGTTAACCTGCGTTGATCCTTTAGTTGGATATGTTGTGTTTAGATCTATAGTGAAATGCAATCAAATTTAATTTATTTAAATAGACTGTAAAAAAAGGTGAATTTACAAAAAAAAATCAACACTAATATCATGGGGGCCAGTTTGGCATTGTGCATTATTTTATTTAAAATATATAAAAATGTAATTACCAACTATAATAGTGAATTAAACATTATCAGTATAAATATAAAGCATTATCAGTCTGCAAAAGTGAGTCTGTGTATGTCTGTGAAATGCATTGAGTTTATTAATCTGTAAAGGAAGTGTTGTTGAAGGCCTCTGTCATGCTTGACAGACTCAGAAACAACATAAAGCACTTTCCTAACTACTATCCAAGTTCTGCACCGACTCACTATTTCCATTCACACACAGTGGAGGTAGTACTTCCAGCTTATTGCCTAGTTGAGACAATATTCTCTCTATTTACAGGGTTTAATGTGACGTAGCCTGCCATGGCAGGTGAGTAAATAATGGCCTCATATCAAGTGGACACATCCAAAACAAGCATCTGCGTGGCTTTGTTTTTTTATGCCAAGAGAATAGACCATCTCTGTGTTTTTGTTGACTAATGGATAATGATGTGGTGATTTATTTCATGGTTGATAATAATTCTCATACACTTTGCAAACTATTATTCAGTTCCCCACATATACAGTACACATGCATTTCAGTGCCTCAGGCTGTAACAGATGTGTTAATGTTCGTTAATGAACATTACTCCTTCCCTCCACCTCTCCAGCCTTTCTTTCCTCATGGAATAGTGAAACAAACGGGTCAGCCAGACTATAACGCGTCTGCTGATAGCAGAGATTAAGAACTGGAGTAGTATAGACAGCTGCGATTCAGCTGAACTCAATGGAGTAAGTTAAGAGCAACCAGCTAACAAAATGGGAAACTCTTCAATTCATATTAAACCCTGCGGTTGTGAGCCAATACACTTATTAGGATTGTGTGTGTGTGCAGGTGAAATATCTTAAACCAGGATATGGAGGCCATTGTGGGGCATTTAAACAGAAGACTATCTAAATTACACTCCATCCTGTATTTCAGCCACAGAGTTAGTT